ATTTGAGTTTATTCTGTTGAGAATTCTCTGTTTAGCTCCTTCCCTCATTTTTAAATTAGATTATTTGTATTTTGATATTTAGTTTCTTGAATTATTAATATATTTTGGAAATCACCTGTGGTGATATATTGCTTATAATCTAATAAAGCCACTGAGATCAGAATGCAAAGCCAGGCACACTAGTTAGCCATAGAAGCTGGGCAGTGGTGGCACATCCCTTTAATCCCAGGACTCAGGAGACAGAGGCAGATGGATCTCTGTGAGTTCAAGGGTACCATGGGCTACAAGAGAGTGAATCAGTCTAAAAGAGAAACAGAGCTCATGGCTTTAATCCCAGCACTAGAGAGAATATAAGAAGCTCAGTGCAGTCTCAGGCAGCAGCCTGAGATTTGGTGATGAGCAGTGCAGTCTGGAGATGCAATCGGAGGTTTGGTAGATCACCCCTTTGGTCTGAGTATTGGTACAGATGAGAGATCTCTGGTGGCTTTGCCGCTTTGCTTTTCTGATCTTCAGCTTGAACCCCAATATCTCTCTCTGGGTTTTTGTATTTTGTGTTACAATCAGCCCTCTGTCAGATATGGGGTTGGTGAAGATCTTTTCACATTCTGTAGGCTGTCATTTTGTCTTATTTACCATGTCCTTTGCCTTACAGAAGCTTTTCAGTTTCAAGAGGTCCTATTTTTTTTTATTATTTCTCTCAGTATCTGTCCTAGTGGACATTAAATGTAAAGCAGAGAATAACTAGAAGACAATACACAGCTCCAGAAAAGCTAAAGCCTTCATCCAGTAATTGATAGAACCAGATGAAGAGATCCATAACCAAGCACCAGGCTGAACTCAGGGAATCTAGTCGAAGAGAGGGAGGAGGAAATACATGAGCAGGAGACATCAAGATAATGATAGAGAAATATAGAGACAGCTGAACCAAGCTCATGGATGTTCATGAACTCTGGATCCTCCATGGGACCAAACTAGGCACTCTGTATGTAGGAGGCAGTTGTTTAGCTTGGTCTATCTGAGGGGCCCGAACAGTAGGACCAGGGTGTATTCCTGTTGCATGAGCTAGTTGTTGGAACTCATTCCCTATTGTGAGATGTCATACTCAGCCTTAATGCAGGGGGGAGTGGCTTGGTCCTGCTTCAACTGATTATATATGCAAAGCCACATTTCTAATTAGCAATAGAACCCAAGATACTGGGATGAGGATTTCAACACATGATTCTTCCCCCTCTAGGAAGTACAATCCACCTATGCTATTTTAGCCTTGTGGTTTGTATGTAAGCCAAAATACTACTTACCTTTTATAAATTATATCAAAGATTTTAAGGAAGGACAGTAAAAAATATGTTGTTTAGTAAATAAGGTGTATGTGTACATTCACAAATGTATATATTATATATACATTTTAAAAATCAGAAATATATACACATATAATGAACAATATTATACTTAGTTTTCTTATTTTTATGAATTTCTTCAATAATAAATTGATTTTATCATAGGGATGGATTTATCTTTCTGATAATATCATAGGGATGGAAAAGCTTTATGGGGTCACAGATGAGAAATGCTTTTAGAAACTCACAGAATTTTGTTTTTTCCCCATTCATAATAAAAAAGTTCAGTGGTACATGGGCCTTCACTCCAAGCTACCTCAATTGTGGCAGACAATACTAATTAATTACATACATGTGCTCCAATAAATATGCTTAACAACATGGAAGGAAACTACAATTATTAGATTTAAAGTAGTTCCTAAAGGTCACTGCCAGCCTAATATGGAAAAAGTAGAAAAGAGTTACAGTTTTGCTACAGTTTTGTGCACTTAACTGCTGAATTGCAAAACTAGTCAAGTACAATAAAGAAAGAATGGTTATCGTGTGTAATGGCGCATGCCTTTAACCCAGTACTTGGGAGGCAGAGGTGGGTGGATCTCTGTGTATATTCGGTTTACATATTGAGTTTCAGGACAGAACTATATAGTGAGACCCTGTCTCTATAAAGAGACACATTGTCTTGTATTTCAGCAAAAGTTTTTCATAGTGAATTAAATGTACATTCTCTATAACATCCATCACACAATATAGTCTTTTATTAATTTTCCATCCACAGATATGTAAAATTTAATCTTATCAAGTGGCTTATATGTATGAATAAAATAAAAGACAGGTGGCAGCTATAATTTTCCTATAAGCCACACACATCTCCTTTATTTTTGAAGGCATGAAATTTGTTTAATGAAAGGCTAATTACAAACTGTTACTCATAGAATCATAGGTATTGTTTGGCAAAGAGATAGCCATTTGTGCTAAAATGATTTCAAGATTGCCCATACTATTTATTTTATACTCTTCCCACTGACTGGTGTCAATATATTCAGTTTTACTTTGCTAATGATTCATTCTTAAAAATCAGATACACATCATTGTAAGTTGAAAATAGTGATACTCAATTTCTGAGACATCCCTCCAGCCTCTATTTTCACAGAGGATCCAGTTTCAGTTCCCAGCATACAGTGGCTTGCAACTATCTGTAACTCCAGTTCCAGGGAAATTTGATGCCCTCTTTTGACTTCCACAGGCTACTGCTCACATGTGGTGCATATTAACTCATGCAGGCACACAAACACACATGCACATAAATAAAAATTTAAATAATTTAATAATTTTTAAAAGCTGCTTTCTTTATCATATTGAGATATACACATATTATTTATTTATTTGCTCATTTATTTATTTGTTTTAACATTCTGGAACAAGTGTTTATATGGACACATAATTTTGCACAGTTATTACATTAGTAGGTTTATTTTTAGCATATTTAATAGCTGACAAATTACTCTCCAAAGTGTCCATTTGTCTATTTTCTTACCAGTGTACAGAGGTTTCACTGTTTCTACAGCCCCACATACATTTCCTCTGGTGGTCCATTTTTTAAATATTTTTTTCTCCATTTTTATTTGAATTAGAAACAAGATTGTTTTACATGTCAATCCCAGTTCCCTCTCCCTCCCCTCCTCGCCTACTCCCCCAACTAACACCATACCTATCCCCAACCCCATGAGTCTAGGCTCAGGAGTATCCCTCCATGTGGAATGGGCTCCCAAAGTCCACATCTATGCTAGGGATAAGTACTGATCTACGACAAAAAGCCCCATAGATTTCCGAGGTCTCCTTACTGACACCCAAGTTCCTGGGGGTCTGGATCAGTCCCATGCTGGTTTCCCAGTTATCAGTCTGGGGGCCAAGAATCCCCCTTGTTCAAGTCAGCTGTTTCTGTGGGTTTCATGGTGGTCCATTTTTTTTAAAAAAAAATTTATTGATTCTTTGTGGATTTCCCATCAGGCATTCCAATCCTATTCATCTCCCCATCCCTTCATATCTGCCCTCTGCACCTGCAACCCCCATAAACAAGAAAATAAAACTTAAAAGAAAAATAAAAAAATCAAAACCAAACAAACAAAACCAAAACAAACCAGAAAATTTTGGGATGGAAACTGTAGTGTGACCTAATGAGTCACACATTACATACTCTTTAATACATAAATCTTTACTTGTAAGGATTCATGAGTTATTGATCTAGTTTGAGTGCTCTGGTTTCTACTACATTATCAGCATTGGGCCCTCAATGGGACTTCTCTAGGATATCCTGTTATTGGCCTGTGTAATGGACATTCTTCACCTTTGGATACGCAGGTCTAGTACCTTCACTTGCTCCAGCAATTCATAGATGAGGTGGACGTTGGAGTGGGTTAACTCATAGCCCTGTTTCTGGGCCTGGGTGGTAGCTGGGTTGGTCAGACCATCACCACTAGCTTTTTCTCATCATTACCACCTGGACAAACTCTCAACCATGGCCCTGGGATGGCCCACACAATGTAGTCAGTCAATGAGCAAGCCAGTTCTCTTGCTCTCACAGCCTTGGGGCCAGCTCACCTGCACCAACACCACTAGTGCCAGCTCTACTAGTAGTTTTGCCCAAGCCAGGTGCAGGCCCCACTCTCCCGAGTACTGCTGCAGTTGGTGAGATGAGGGGCCAACTCTTTTGACCCCAAGGCCAGCTCTCCTGACTGATGCAGGTAGCAAAGAGCGAGGGGCATCTTTCCCTCACCCACACCACCACATGGTACACTGGGGTTAGGGTGGTGTCAGTTCTACTCTCCTGCCTTCATGGCTTGCTCACCTGCATCCCCACCAAAAGGGTCAGCTCTGTGCTGCCTGGGCAAGGTGCAGGGCCTGCTCTCCCAAGTGTTGCAGCCCATGAGGGGCAGGACCAGCTCTCCAAACCTCATGACATCTGGGCCAGCTCTCCTAGCTACCACAGTCAGGGAGGGATGCAGGAGGGAGGCAGAGTCAGGACTCCCACTCCCATTATCTTGGGATCTGTTTTTCTACCTGTAGTAGGTGGAGAGGGCTGAGGGGCAAGGGGGACATCTCCTCCCTCCCTCTTCATCACAAACAGATAATGGGCCAGCTCTCCCACTCTCATGTCTTTAGGGCTGGCTCACTTGCACCACCAATGGGGTCAGCATTAATGTGCTACCCAGGTGAGGTGCAGGGCGTGATCTTGTTTTTCCAAGTACTGAAGTTGGTGAGGGGTGGGACCAGTTCTCCCTATTGCTGCAGTCAGTAAGGGGTAGGATCAGCTCTGTGCAGCCCTATCCTAACTGTCTTTGGTGGTGACAGGAACCACAGACGTCAACACAGTCTATGGCCTTGGACACAGACATGGCCCTTGGCAGCAGCACAAGCCTAGATGACACCATGATCCTAGGTAGCAGCATAGGCCACTCAGATCTATATGGCCTCGGCAGCAGCATGGCTCTTTGGCACTAATGTAGCCCTAGGTGGCAGCCCATAATCCTGATGTGTGTGGCCCTTAGGGGCAACATGGACCATGGATATAGACACAGACCTTGGCTGCTTTTGAACCATGAACCAAGACATTGTCTTTGGCAGAAGCCAGATGTCAGTGTAGTCCCAGGTGGCAGTGCAGGTCACTCAGATCCCCAATGGGCCCTGTGGCAGTGTAAGCCTCAAAGAGCAAAATGGCAACAGGTAGAGGTCCAGATCATAGGCATCTGCATGGCCGATGGCAACAGAAGCTTTGGACATCAGCATAGACCCTGGCTGTATACCTACATTATTTAAGCATTGCAATAAGGAATCATAGAATGTATAAGGGCTATATAAACATAAGCACACTGTGGTAGTTTGAGTGTAATTGGCCCCCATAAGCTCATAGGTTGTGGCACTATTAGGAAGTGTGGCTTTGTTGGAGTGGGTATGGCCTTGTTAGAGGAAGTGTGTCACTGTGGGAAGGGTTTTGAGATTTTTTTGTGCTCACGATACCACCCAGTGTCCAAGTTGACTTCCTGTTGCCTGCAAAATGTAGGACTCTCAGCTATCATTCCAGCACCATGTCTGCCTACACAATGCCATGCTCCCCATCATGAGGATAATGGACTGAACCTCTGAAACTCTTAAGTGGGCCACCCCAATGAAATGTCTTCTTTATAAGTGCTGGCTTGGTCATGGTGTTTTTCAGAGCATTAGAAATCTTAAGAATGCATCAATTTAAAAAAATCATTATATAACATATGGTATTATAAATATCAACTATGAAAAATAGTGAATCCTTTAGGGTTATACGCCAAATTTATCACTAGTCTTTTAAAATGATATGTAAGGAATTGATCTGTAATACCAGCATTGTTTAAAATACTGTCATTAAATCATGGTTCGGAAGCCAGGCCATGGTGGCACATGCCTTTAATCCCAGAATTTGGGAGGCAGAGGCAGGTGAATCTCTGTGAGTTCCAGGCCAGTATGCTCTACAGAATGAGCTTTTGGACAACCAAGCCAACACAAAGAAACCCTGTCTCAAAAACACAAAACCCAACCTAAACCAAACCAACTCATGTTTCAGTCTTGCACGTTAAAAGTAAAGATATTCCAACACTTGTACCAAAAATCCATTTTAAAACAAAAACACAAGTCAGAAATGAACTACATCCTATTAAAAATATAAAAATCCAGCAATTAAAAAACAAACAACAAAGCCCCAGAAAGTGGATTATGATTATCCCTCAAAAATGAGATGAAAAACAAAATACCCAATTCTACTTGAGAGCAAGGAATGTTTATTTTTTTTTATTTTTGCTTTTTAACTAAAGGAGCACCTTTAATAGTAGAAGACACTCCCGTGCTTCGGAGTTTAGCATTTTCACGAATAAAATTTTGTCGAATTGGTGGCATGCTATCATATGTCTTGTTATTAGTATCAATTTTGGCTTTTATATGTTCCAATGATTTTGGTGATGGAGGTAACCCATTTATTTCATACAGCCAATATATTTCATCTGTCTGAAATTCGAGAGAAAGAAAAATTATAAGAAATATACAGAGACCTAAAAGAATTAGGGAAATATTTATCACTATTAGTAATTTCTATTTTTGAAAATAGTAATGGAAAGATGAAAAAGTAAAGTTGCATCTGTAATGAAAAATACTTAATAGGGACATAAATTATGTAAATCCATTGGCTTTATGAATAAAGGAAAAGTCACTGACAAGAAAATCTCTTAGCTAACGGTCTTCCATGTAGGTAAACAATGCCTTTCAAGATGTACTTTTAAATGAATACTTAACTGTAGTCACAGAAATGATTGACAAATTACAGTAATGTGATTTTTGGATAATGAAAGGCTAAAACATTACAAATACATTTATTTATTATTGTTTATTTATGGTCTTTGGTCACCCACATTTCTCTGGTGTTTTCATTTGAGTCAATGTCTGATGTAATTTGCAACTCTTTGAATTTTTCTCCCCAGAAACTCCAGCATGCATTTCAGCTGGTTTTGGATCATCAATCATCTCTGAATCCATTCCTTAATAATAATTGGAATGGTATAAAGTGGTATATAAAATCCCTATATTCATGCCCACCTGGGGTATGAATTTTTCAAGGTTTAAATTCTGCACTATTTTCCAGCTATCCCTAATGGTATTAATTTTCAGTTTCTCACTGTGGTGGATGATTTCATTGATCCTCTTTCCTTCTGTATTTCACATACTGCCTTCCCTCTATTTTTTTCCTGGTGTCATATAACAAACAGGCTACTTAAATTCAAATTCTTATTCAAGGATGTGCTTCCAATGAAAAACAAAAGTAAATACATATTTAGAATGCCCTTTCCTATTGTTTCATGCTAATGGAAAGCTTTCTTTAGAAGTAATATAAAATATATACTTATATTTGTGTCTCTAGTTATAACAGGATTGTAAGATATATTAATATCTATGTACATAATACTTTTATGCAAGCATGACCATAAAACATCATATATTTCATATTCTATAACTCTGATAGTTAAGGTTGAGTTTGTGTAGTATGTGTGTAGGTATGTACACATGTACTTGTGTGTAACTGTGCTTGTGTATACATGTATGTGGAAGCTAGAAGTAGGTGTCAGGTATCATCTTTGATTGCCCCTGCTCTACCTTATTTTTTGAGACACGGTTGCTCAATAAATTTAGAGCCCATTGATTAGACTAGGCTGTCTGTCCAAGGAACTCCAGTGATCTGCCTTTCTCCTCCTTTTCATGGTGGAGCTAAATAGATAAATGTGCTACTGAGCAACCTGGGGGTTGGAACTCAGGAATTCATGCTTGCATAACATATACTTTACCAACTAAGCCATCTGCCAGCTCCAGTATTCACTAACTTTTTTTATAGTCATTCAGGAAAACGTATTAGATTTTCTACTCCTCGGGAGCAGCACTACTTTTGATAAAATAAATGGAACCACTTAACTTCCTTCCATCAAAACTAATGCTATTTGTCTTGTTTCCTAATTGTAGAACAACAGGTTTGAATCATTGTAATGATGACTTAGTTGAATGAAAAATTATAAGGCATGAGAACATGATTGTTGAGTTTTGTCTAGGCAAGATTAATTAAAACTATTCTTATAAATTATTCCTTTTTCTGAGTGAAGTAGAATGAAGACCATATTGTTGTAACTACTGCTATATTGCTAGCCTAAGTGTTTAAAAATGACAATGGTGTAATTAACAATTTGAATTTAGATAATTACTTGACTTTTTGAACTGCAACGTGAGAGTAAGGATAGATGTTGAAATTAACTGGGATTTGGAGTCAAAGGGTATCAGCTGTTATTTTTAAGATTGGTGATTTGATATGTGCAATGACTCTTATGAATCTCCAGGGTAATTCTGTTTAATATACCAATTTTAAAAGTTTGTACAGTGTAATATTATATTTATGGGTAGAATTTCATATTTAGGATCCACATAATTGTAGAAAAGTGCTAACTTCAGCAAGTTGTCCTCTGAACTTTACACACGCCATGTTATGTACATTTTCCCTACTAGAGATGAATATATGTGAAAACACACTAGAAATAACAAAAGTAGTATAAGGACTTTAATATGAATTTAAATGTTTAGGTGTCTTACTATACAATTTTAGGAAATCATCATTGGAGGAAAATAAAGTCTTCGTAGAACTGTATGTGCTATGTTCAAAATTTCCATTAGTTCTACACATATTACTCAAAACTGAAAAAATAGATTTAAGATTTATCTATAAATTATCTACTTCATATTTGAAATAGGGCTTACCATATGTTTTTATATCTACAAACATGGCAATGAGTACATGAAATTACATATTCTATTTTTGCACATGTTTGGAATTTTATGTAATAAAAATTAAATAAGCAAGCTGATATTTCCTATCCTTCTCTTGGTTTGAATTGATTCTCAAACTGCAGCCAAGGTTGATGTCTAAATCAGAATCCTTTTGATTTTACCTACTGAATACTGAGATTACAAGTATGTCACAGAAATTCTGGCAAAATGTTAATTTTAAAAACATGTTTCAATGTCAATTTGTCTCCCACATAAGCTTTTATTTTTTCAAATAATAGTGGAGGCAATGAGTAATATTCAGAAAGGCAAAAGAGGTTTCATTGCTGATGTCCTATGTTCTATAAAAATCTTAGAACAATGAAAAAAGAAATTCTCTTAGTCACTAAATTTTTATTTTCAATAATTATTAAAATAATGACATTTTCTTCTGTTAATGGCAGTGACTAATTGCTATTTGATTTAAAAGTTCAGGGATTTCTTTGGCAGCAGGAGTTTTAGCTTTATAATCTGACAACATGTATTTTGTATATATGCAACTGAAAGTAAACTGTGGTAATAGTATGTTTTCCAAGAATTTGAAAGTTGCCTTTATCCCAAAATTTCTCACTATAAAGTATGTATGAAATTCTATGAAGATACTTCTTTCCTGGATAAATTTTTAAAAAACTGTACTTACCTTAACTGTTAGCAAAACAATCACTCTAACTTTAACAGAAATGGTTTAATTTACAATGCATTTTTAATTAAAAGTTTTTATTTACTTCAACATTTTGATGATATACTTTAATCAATGTTTGCAAAAGGTGTTTCAAATAATATGAAGTCCTTGAGTAAGTACCTTTTTAAAAGAAAATGTTATGTAACTATTCAAATCATCTATACATTTAGTCTCCCATATTTTTTAATATGAAATATAAGTAATTCCTTATTTTCCTAGTATTAACAAATTATTTTGTTATATTCCATACCTAAATTATTTGGCTTTGAAAATTAAAGATTGTGTTTTTGAAAACTTACCTGTATTACAAGTGTTGCTCGATATTTCTTACTATACATTCGGGGTTTAAATCCTACAATGATGAGAATTCCTTTTGTGTAAAATGGAGGGAGTTCTCCACGATGAGGTTTTACAAAAAAATCTCGATCACCACCTGGCAGAAAATAGGCCGTAAATGGCTCGTAATACCTAGAAAAAAATAAATGAAATGCATCAATTGGTCATTGTCTCATTGACTCATTGGCTGAACCATAAATTCTGCTCCAACATAACCATAGCTCAAAATTAATACTGAATGCTTACAAAAATGTATGAGGTGGCATTTTGAATATTACAAATGGAGTCTGTCCTAGTTTTCTGAAAATAAAACACCATGATCAAAATAACTTAGGAAGGAAACATTTATTTGGCCTATATTTTGCAATCATTGAGGCAGGTCAGGGCAGGATCTTAATCAGGAGTAGAGGCAGGAACCAGAGAACCACTACTGGGTTGCTTCCCCATACTTTAGCTTGCTTGTAGAACCCAAGATCATCTTCCCAGTGATGGGGCTACCCATAGAGGGCTTAGCCTTCTCACATTAATCATTAGTCAAGGCAATGACTAACAGACAAGACATGGACCAATTTGATGGAGGGGACTTCTCAGCTGATATTCCCTCTTCTCATGTGTCTCTATAGTTTGTGTCAAGTTGACAAAAATTAACTAGCACTCTATCATTTTTATTCTCAGGGTGGCAAAATAAAATTCTGAATTTTTTCATTTATTTCCTGTGTTCATAGTATACTACGATAAATGTTGTCCCTATAAAAATTGGTCAAACTCAGTATTCCAGATTAAAACTCAGTCATTTGTAACTAAACTGTCCACTAAAGCTATGATAAAGCCTTTTGTCTCTACTGCTGTCCCATTATAATATTTACTTACTTACCAGTAGCTATCTATCTACATGCTAAGTACACAGAAATTACTAAAGTCTCACTGAAGTTTTATAGGCATGAAGATAGATTATTAAAGTATGAAGTGGAGTGACATTCGTGTTTCAAGTTGCCATTTCATGCCACGATAGGCAATTGAGAAAAAGAATGTTAATTAAGTCGATGAATTTCTTAGTTAAAGAAAACAGGGTAGTGGTACATGACAAAAAATGCTTTAAGTTCAGAATTTAAGATAAATTAATAGCAATGCATGTAAAATATCAAACATGGCTGCTAAAAACCGGTACAATAGTGCAACACAGAAAAAGACATGGGAAGGTTCATGATGTTACTTTCTGATCTATTCAACAAACAATTATTGAGTATCATGGTGGACGATCGGAGAACATGTTCTGTAGATACAGGTGGTATTGTTTGAATCATAGCTCTACATAGCATTTCAGGAAGTTTACTTAATCTTTTGTACCCCAGTTTTGACACTTCTTAAATTAATAAACAGAGTCAAGTCATTGAACCAATGACTAACACATGTAGTTTGAAAGGCGTAGCCAATATCACTTTAGTCATTATCAATGTGATTTTAAAATATTTTATAAGCAGTGCCAGGAAAGGAAGGGTGATGTAATACATGAGGGGAATAACATGGAGCACCTAAAAGGATTACAACAGGAAGATGACAGACAGATAGATATTTACTGGAATCCATAAGTCTCCCTTATCCTGAGATACATCCATTCAGAAATAATATATGGAAGAATTCTCTTTGTGAGGAACCGAGAAACCATTAAAGAAGATGGGGTTACAGGTGCATAGCTGCCATGCTTGGCTACCAGCTTCTGTTAAGAAATGATTTTTTTTTTTTTGTGACAGGGTCTCTTGTATCCTGGGCTGGCCCCAAAATCACTATGTAGCAAAGGATGACTCTAAAACTTTGATCCTGTTGCCTATTCTTTCAGTGTGTTGAGGTTAAAGAATCAAACACTATGCCAAGTTTATGCAGTGTTGGGGATCAAACCAAAGTCTTCCCATGTGCTAGGAAAGCTCTCTACCAACTGAGCTATATCCCTATACCACAGACATTTTAAAATGAGAAAAACTAAAATAAGAAAGAAATTAAAGGAAATAAATACTCTAATGGTTTCTAAGAAATCAAAAGAAACATAATAGAAGATTACATGAATTATATTTAATAACATTTGACAATTAAGAAGGAAATCCACAAATTCTTAGGAAAAAAGTAACCTATCAATGGATTGGTTCAATAGGTCTGTACAAATGATTTTATTAGTAATTTAAAACTTTCCTTTGAAGAAAATTACACTATCATATACCTTCTTAGATGAATGCTATCTGTAATTCAAAGAAGAGCTAGTATCAACAGCATCAATTTTTTAAAACTCACCCCAAGTAACTGCACCTAATAGTACACCTCCACAAAATATAGGAAGAACAAACTTTATCCAGAGTTATCAGAAAAAAGACATAAGGTAGGGTAAATGTAAATTAATGAAAACCTAAAAACCAGTAAAATTGTGAGGTGGCTAATTGAATAAGCCACACCAACAAAGTTCAACCAACTCAACAGAAATATAGCCATGTTACCTTAAAAAGAAAGAAGTATAAAGTAAACAAAGGTGGAGGGTAGAATATGATACATTTTAGGAATAAAAGTGATCACCAGAAACTAGTTAGCACAATCATAAGCCCAGACTAAGAGAAAGCTTATGAGTGAAGCTTAGGTAACCAAGAACCAGACAGACCAGATAACCCAGAGACCTCGGGTAACTTCAAACATGACTGATCTAAAAAATAAAAACAATCATTAAAAGATTCCATTTGTAACTGTATTATCCTTTACTTATACAACAGTGCCTTATCCAGTCATCATTAGAGAGGCTTCCTCCAGCAGCAGATTGGAACAGGTGCAGAGGCCCACATCTAGACATTATGCAGACAGAGACAGACAGACAGAGAGAGAGAGAGAGAGAGAGAGAGAGAGAGAGAGAGAGAGAGAGAGAGAGAGAGAGAGACTGACTGACTGACTAAATGAAAGGTCTCCATGAAGTCTTTCCACTCAGAATTCAGTGAATCCCATGGAAGAGAATCCAGAAAGATTTTAAGAGTCAAAGGGGATTGAGGACACCAGGAGAACAAGGCCCTCTGAATCAACTAAATAAGGCATAGATGACCTCACAGAGACTGAAGCAGCAAGTCCAGGGCCTACATGGGTCTGCACAAGGTCCTCTGTATATATATTACAGATATTAGGTTTCTATTTTTATGGGACTCCTGACTGTGAGAATGAGTGGGTCTCTGACTCTTGTACCTGTTATTGGACTCTTTTCCTTTTGTTGGGTTGCCTTGTCCAACTTCAATGATAGTTTTTACTTTATCTTATTATATTTTATTTTGTCGTGTTTGGTTGTTAACTCTTAGAAGCATATTGTTTTCTACTGAGATAAAGAAAGGGTGTGGATCTAGAGGGGAAGGGAGGAGGGGAGAAACTGTGAGTAGAGGGGAGGGAAAATATAATCAGGACATAAAAGGAGAAAAAATGAAAGAATATTAGCAAAACCAAAAAAGATAAATTAAAAAAAATACTTTGTAAGAAAACAAAACTCCTGCTGAGTAGGCAATCAGGTAGCTCCTGAGGCAAAAATAACCTCCTTCACCAAAGGCTCTTCATGGGAACTATACTTTCAGACATTGTAGAATACATATTGCTAATATAAATATACTTGTCTCAGGTCCACACAGTGTTCCAGGAGGTAGAAACTGGATCTGAGCCGAAGACTACTATGGCACCATATTAGATTAAATTGGTGGAAAAATATTTTAAGTGCATTCGTCCAGGAAACATGCAGGAATTACTAGTCTAATATCATATAAAACAGACATAAAACCAAAATTAATCAGAAGAGATAAAGGATACTTCATTCGGATCAATGGAACAAGTAACCAAGAAGACACTACAATCCTAAACATGTATACACCAAACTCTGGCAATGCAATTTCATAAAAAGCATACAATTGCAATGCAAGAGAGAATCAATTCTTGAAAGTTGTCCTTGAATTTCACATGCATCCCATGACACACACATATGCCCCCTTCCAATAAACAAATACATGTAATAAAAATAACCAGTGAGCTCTACAAAATAAATTAATGCTGCACCTCAAGGTTTTAGCAAAATGAGAACAAGCCAAACCTAAAATCAGTAGGTGGAAAGAAACAATAGATATTGGAACAGGAATTAAAATGGAAATAAAAAGAATGCAAAGAACCAATGAAACAAAGAATTGGTTCATTAAGAATAAACATGATTGACAAATTCTTAACTAAACTAACAAAAAAGAGAGGGCAGAATCTAACTAGTGAAATTAGATATAAACGTGAGACACTGAAAACAATGCCAAAATCTAAAAGAAGGATATAATTTTCTAGATACATATGTCCTATCCAAAGAAAGCCAATTTCTTGCTAGAGTAGAAAGCTAGAGTAGAAAGCCAGAGTAGAAAAGCAATATAGATATTATAAAGAACTAGCACAGTGTACTTCAACTATTCCTTAATCTGAAAGGAGAAATGCTATTATCTTTTCCTGAAACCTGATGAGAACATAAAAAGAACATAATGAAAAGTATCTCAGTATAAGAGCAAAGTCCAGTACACATCAAGAAGATCATTCATTGCGACCCACTGTGATTTATTCTAGTATGAATGTGTGGACTAAGATATGCAAATCTATAAATGCAATGCATCAAACTAATAGATGATAAGGCAGAAAGCAAACAAAAATTTCATAGATACAGAAAGAGCTTTGATAGAGTCTAAATACTTTCCTGACAAAAGAACTTAAAAAAAAAACGTATTAAGACTATACACTAGTATATAAAAGCCTATATATGACAAACCTATAGTCAACATTATACAAAATGGAGAAAACTCAAAAAGTATTTTTAGTAATACCATGAGTTGAGTATGCCCACTTACTTCATTCTTGTTGTGTGTATTCCTTGAAGTCCTATCTTGAATAAGACAAGAACATTAAAGAAATACAAATAAAAAAGAAATCAATGTATTCCTGTTTAGAGATGGTTCTTGTAGATAAGAAAATCCAAACAATGCAACATACAAATATTACAACTTATAAATACTTTCACTAGAGAAAAAGAACACAAAACTAATACAAAAATAAGTAGCTTTTCTATATACTAATAACAATGAAGCTGAGAACTATTTAGGGAAACA